AAACATTAGTCGATTTGTGTCTGCATCATAAAGTTATTCTCGATTGAAAATGTCAGTTTACGAGCCAAATTCTCGTCATTTGCGGGAGGGTTTAATTTTTTACTTGAATATGAAGAAATCTGCGGCTGAGGCTCATCGAATGCTCATCGAATGGTGAGGCCGTTATTAGTGAAAGAACGTGTCGTGAGTGGTTTCAACGCTTCAAGAACAGATTTTGACGTCGAAGATCGGCATAGCGGTGGAAGAGAGAAGGTTTTCGAAGATGCAGAATTGGAGGCATTATTTGAGCAAGACTCGTGTCAAAATCAAAAAGAATTGGCACGATCATTGGGAATGACTCAACAAGCCATTTCAAAACGCCTCAAAGCCATGGGAATGATTCAGAAGGCAAGGAAATTGGGTGCCGTACGAATTGAAGCCGAGAGATATTGAACGGCGTTTGTTTGCTTGTGAATAGCTGCTTGAAAGGCAAAGACGGAAGGGATTTTTGCATCGCATTGTGACTGGGGACGAAAAATGGGTTCATTACGATAATCCCAAGCGCAGAAAATCATGGGGAATTCCCGGCCATGCTTCCACGTCGACGGCCAAACCGAATATTCATGGTTCCAAGGTCATGCTCTGTATTTGGTGAGACCAGTTCGGCGTAGTGTATTATGAACTGTTAAAACCGACTGAAACAATCACAGGCGATCGGTATCGAATGCAATTGATGCGTTTGAGCCGAGCATTGAAAGACAAACGGCCGCAATACAACGAGAGACACGATAAAGTGATTTTGCAGCATGACAATGCTCGACTCCATGTTGCGAAAGTGGTCAAGACATACTTGGAAACGTTGAAATGGGAAGTCCTATCCCACCCGCCGTATTCTCCAGACATTGCTCCCTCTATCACTTGTTTAGATCAATGGCCTGGCTAACCAGCACTTCCGGTCTTATAAAGAAGTAAAAAAATTGGATCGATTCGTGGATAGCCTCAAAAGATGACCAGTTTTTTCGACGCGGGATTCGTACGCTACCCGAAAGATGGGAGAAAGTAGTGGCCAGCGATGGACAATACTTTGAATCATAAATGTATAACCAGTTTTTTACAATAAAGCCTCGAATTTCGGAAAAAAACGGCGGAAGCAAAGTTGTACACCTTATATATATATATATATATATATATATACAGGGTGTCTCATAAGATGGGGCCACGATACGAGTCACATTCGGAGTGGAGAATGGATCAAAGGGAACAAAAAATTCGTTCTACTATTTTGAAATACTCGCTATAATTTTCGAATTAGAAAAGGAAATGTTTAAGCCAATATGCGATTAAGCCGCGCCGCGCGAATTCGTAGGACGGCCCACTCGAGCGGCGGCGGCGACGGCGCGCAGGGAGAGGGAATTAGCGCTTCATTAGCCTGGCATGGCGGTTCTATATATTTCGCCGCATCGCGCTTACATTATTCAAAAATGTTATTAACTCTTTCCATACCGCTCATGTAAACGTTAAACAAACGTTTATAAAACTTCTTCATTTTCGTTAGGGTTATACTTCGAAAATCGCAATGAAGATTTTACTTTGTATCAGTCTCGAAATTAAAATTAGAAGATCTTCGTTTTCATAATATTTACATTATTTTGAATAATAGATATAAATAATATAATAAGACAATAATAATATATTATTATTATTATTAGTTTTCCAAACTTATTTTTTTCTAAAGTAAACAATATAAAAATTATCTCTAATTATTTTTATGTTTTCATATCACTATTATTATTTTTATTGTTATCATCATCATTTATTTATATTATTCATCATATTCATATCAGTGGAAACTAGGCCAGTGTTGAACTATGAGCGAAGTTTTTCGCTCAAATTGAGTAGAGAGTCTTCGCCAGCGAAGCTTCGCTGCATGAAATGACACTTTAAATGCTATGCTTATGCAGCTCAATGTTACTATTTATGGAGATTTTTCACTAATTTAGTACTATTTATGGAGATTTTTCACTGATTTTTAAGGTCTTGATGATTTAATGAATTAGTTTCTTTATTTGGTGAATTTTTATGTCAGCGTCTTCTATTTCTTTGATTGATCTTGTTTTCAGTTCCTTATTGGATCTAAATATTGAGCCATATTAACATAAACCAAGAATCTTAAAGTTGCGTTTTCTGGCTGAATATCTAGTATAATCTAGTTATATGATTTATATATAGGTTTCATTTTTAATTTCACAAACCAAAGTGTAATGAGTTGTTTTATCAATCATTCTATAATATGATTTATTATAGTTATTTTTTTTTAAATATAAATTATAAAATGATACATAAGGAGAGATTGTTACAATCTTATTATATATTAAAGCCAATTGGCAATCTTCTGGCAAATTTTACGACAAATTTTATTTTAATTAGGTAAGTAGCAAAATTATCCGATCGTATTGCCAGAGACTTACCTAACACGCAAAATTTAAAATTTATCGAAAGATGGAACAATCGGCTTTTATTGATGTAATTGTGTACAGAATATATATCTATATAAATTGCAAACAGTGCAATTAATTTATTTATTGAAGAGTAATTGTATTCAACAGGGTTGCAAAAATATATTTACCCTATTTTGTTCTCTCCCCTCCTTTTTAGTCATTTCATGCATTTGGTGACTTTTGTGATCTTTTAGTGAATTTTGAAGGGATTTAGTGAAATTATTTTTTAACCGTGACAACACTGATGCATCTCATACCATTTTGTATGTAGTGATCCATGTCTGTGTAACAAATTTCCTAACCTCAATAATCATTAACGCTTAATATCTTGATTCGAGAGGCCAACGTTTGCCACGTTTTTCTACCCGATTCTTTCGTTTTGAATGAAAACGTCGAATGAGTCTAATGTCAAAATCGGAGATGAGGTAGCTATTCTAAATAATTACCAAAGTTAGAATAAAGAGATTTTATATCTTGAAAAAGCAGTGAAGATTCGGTTGTTCTAAATTTACTGCTATTACTGCAAATGCGATAATTTACATTACGTACACTATTCATTTCCAGTACAGGCAATCAATTTTAGAACATAACCATCATGTCACCTAATCAAATTTATTCTGAGATAGATCAGTATAAATAAGGACGTATCAAATATTTAATTCGCACCAATTTAATACGCGTACTTAACCGTTTTAACGGTGTAAAAGGAGTCAAATATTCAACAAAAGTTGATGTACTATGAACCGACTGGATGATCCGCCAGGACTCATGAAAGGCAGAAAACCATCTTTCATTGGAATGAACGGTATATTCTTTTTTTTTAGCACTTCTATTCTAACCTATCTTTTTCAAATTATATAGCTGTAGTTTTTAATTGACTTAGACAAATGTTTAAAAGTCACTTGATGTTATATATTTTCATTTTAACCTATCTTTAACTTATTAAGTTATATAATAATCAATTTTAAGTACGTATTATGTGGTGATCACTACAAAATTAATTGATAAATTGTTTTTTTGATCATTTTGAAATTTATTTATATAAATTTATATTATGTAAAATTTTATATTTTAGGGGCTCCAGAGACAGATGATCAACAGCGAGTACGATTTCAGGTTGAATTAGAGTTTGTACAATGTCTTGCCAACCCAAATTATTTAAATTGTAAGTAAGAATGATCCTTGCATTCTTTAGGTTTAAAAAAAAATTTGTTTTATTTTATTTCTGATAAATATATTTCTAGTTTTGGCACAACGTGGTTATTTCAAAGACATGACATTTATTAATTATCTCAAATATCTATTATATTGGAAAGAACCAGAATATGCAAAGTATTTAAAGTATCCTATGTGCTTGTATTTCCTGGATTTATTACAGTATGAACACTTTAGAAGAGAAGTTGTGAATTCTCAATGTACAAAATTTATTGACGATCAGCAGATTCTGCTATGGCAGCATTACACTAGACGTCGAACAAGACTTCTACAAACAGCTGCTGAGCAAACGCAACATACTAATTCTCAAAACAATGGTATCGTTCAACCTAAGGTTCCCTAAAGTTGTAATTTTATATTTGTCTTGTATATTCATTCTCTACATTTTTTTCAATATAAATAATGTTTCTATAGGAGTTAATTAACAGGTTGTTACTTGACTGTGATAAATAATTCACAACTTTCTCACATTTTTACATTGAATCATATTCCTTTCATGTATAAATATGAGTAAATTATTTATTAAAGAAATCATTAAAAGAATATTTGCTTCAGTTAATTTTTTTCCTAATCAGTTTTGCTACATTACAATTGTTGTATGTGGATATATGTACATATACCTAATAATAGTATTACATCTCTGTATGTGGCATGAAAATGCATTCTTTAAACAAGTTGCATATCGAATCAGTTTAAATTGATTTCTCGGACTGACATTTATTAAATATCCAAGGACACATTTTCCCAATGGGTGCTCTCTGGGTATTATGTTTAACTTCCGATAAACAACAAAAGTGGAGTGATATCTGATTGGCACTTGGGTGGAAATCTGAACATAGCCCAGAGATTCATGAGAATTTTCGTTTTGTGTGAATATGACAACAATTGTTTCTTAAAAAGTATTTTATGTTTATTAAACATTGTTTTATCAGTGAATAGTTTGCGTGAGGATCTCATAAGACTAGAGCGGATTAAAGATGTCCATTAAATATGATAATTTTAGTACAAAGTTGTTTTATTTTGTAAATTATTCGGTATTTTTATTTTCCATAAAATTCACCAAAATTCCATTGCCAGCATCTACCCAATTCTCTGAAAAGAGTTTTTGCCTTAAAATTTGTCTTTCTGTCAAATCTTCCTTTATGTCATTTTCTATATTGATATCATCACTCTTGCAATTATTCTCGTCGATTATATTCTTCATATCCATTACTTGATCAGGTAAAATTTTGTTCAGTGTTTCTGGTAAAATTAAAACTAATACACTGGAGACGAGGCATAACATTCCAATGATTAGTAACGGTATCGGAAGTGATACATGTCTCTAATAAAAAAAGTTATTCGTATTTCTAATGACTGTATGACTCTTGATTAGCTAATTTTGCCAATTCTTGATTTGTCGGAGAATAGTATAAATTGAAAAATATTGAATTTTAAAGAAACTGCAGATATAAATAAAAAATTCTTAAACAAGAAAAATGGATACATACTAATAAAAGTAAATGCAGTATGCTTAGGCTGCCGATTTTTGCGGACATCACACATAAACCTAAGCAGCGACCTCGTATCACTGTTGGAAATATTTCAACAGTATACAAGTAGACAATAGAAAGAGTACTCATGATAGTTACTTTGCCAAATAGTAATATTGTCGTCTTTGCGATATCTGAAATAAAAACATTAAACAACATCATATGTCGTACATACAAAACGTCTACAATACTCTAAAATAAAATTTACTAAAATATTATGATTGTAATAATAAATGTGTTATAAACAATAGAAGAAGTTATATCTTCTTCATCTTATATACCGATCCACGGTGCAATGGCAGCAGTTAAAATAAAGAAAGCCGCAATTAAAATACAAACAATGCCATTGAAAGATTGATATATACATATTGGCAGTCGTCTACCGTATCTAGATAATATAAAATATACAAATGTATTCGTCGCCATTTCGAGAGCTGCACTCAGGGCGAACGTGATGTGCCTATTAATCTGAAAATTCGGTGTCAGATCATCAAGTATGTTGCACGCTATTGTAAACGTCCACCTTAAATTAAAGATCATAAAGTTATAAGTTTAAAAATATTAAAAATTTTACATTATTTAATAAAATAAAAATAATACAAAAGGCAAAAGAAAGAAATAATTTTTTAAAACATTTTACCATTGACAAATCATTATAGCACCATATTTTCTTAATATCGATGATTCAATTGCATTTTTCAATGTTGAGTTTATTTTGTTTACAGTTTGTTTTGTATCGATACTTCCCGTTTTCTCTTCATTTTTACTCGTTTTTTCTTTCTTTATTTTACACAACATTACTTCCTCTGTGTCTCTCAAAAAAAATTTTTTATCGCATTTCGATGGTGTAGTCATCTTTGACTCTTGATCGCACTTTGAATTCGAAGGCAAATGCCGCTTGTTAAAATTTTCCGCTGAACTTGGCATCTCTTGCCATAATTCTACATTAGAAAATTTGTTTTTCAAGTTGATCGAATTGGCTTCCAAAGTTTTTCCTAAAATAAATTTTTTAGTATTAAATATTTGATTTTATACACAGAGTGAGTAAAAAAAACATGATGGAAGAAATAACATAGTATGTGCAATTGGACAGTCTCTTTCTAAATCTCTGCCCTCCCTCTATGGACTGTTCATAGTGCAGAAGGCTACCAACTGCGAAACGGGACGGTATTCATTAGAATCCGTTTTTATTTTAAAACTGTCTGAAATAATGTCTTAAGATGCTAATACAGTCGTCGGATTGACATCTTAAGACTGTACATAAAAATGAATCAGTGCAAAAATGAAAATCCCCAAAAATGAAAATCCCCTGACCTTGATCTTAATAAATGTTAATCTTGATGCGCAGAATTTAGAGAAAACTATTCTTGAGAGTTGGCCATTTTCATTGGGTTTCTTCGTGAGGTACGTTGATGACATTGCACTGTCAATACAGGAAGAAAATATTGTTAATTTATTAAGTATGTTTAATAGTTACCATTCTCGATTAAATTTTATTATGAAGAGAGGCGGCAATTGTTTGAATTTTCTAGATGTAACCTTAGTAAAGAATGATGACTATTTGATATACGATTGGTATTACAAACTCTCGTTCTCGGCACGGTATCTAAATTTTCGTGTCACCAAAGATGCCATAAAATGGGGACAATTATAGATTTGACAGTGTTTTATTATTATCACAATCACTTTTCATGAGAAAAACTTTAAGTTCATTATTAACATCTTACTTACTAACGGTTATCCTAAAACTGATTTTTGAAAGCATTAAAAAAAGGCTACACACCAAATTCGAACAAGAACCTACACCGAAAGAAAATTGCCAACAATTTAATTACATACTTTGTTGTACCCTACGTATCTTCAATAGCAGAGAAATTCAAAAGATTTTTCAAAAATAATAGAGCGATTCATTTAGCTTACATATGAATTAATAAACTTAATACATTGATAAGAGCACAAAAGGACAAATTACTGTCATTACATTCTAATGTGATATACAAAATTAATTATCAAAATTGTGATGCTTCCTATGTGAGTCAGACGAAAAGATTATTAAAGATACATATTAAGGAACATCGGAATCATATAAAATAAATATGTATTAAGGAACATCATACAACACTCTGTAATCACAGAGCGTAGAATTGAGCACAATCACGATTTTGATTGGAATGACCAAATTTTAGAACAAGGGTTTAATAAAACATTAATTCGAAAGCGATTCATATAAAAAAACAAAAAAATTAATCTGCAAAATGACACGGAATTGTTCGATTCGTTATATAATAATTTAATTTAGAGAAAATGGATGTGTTCTTGTTTTACAAATTATAAATTTATATCGTCGATTTTATATTGATATTCAATATTTATTTGGTTTCCATGTTTTATAAATTATAAATTTGTATCGTTGGTATTTATTTTGTTTAACTTTTATATATATTTATAAACACTGCGTGAGAAATGTCCTCTCACACGCTCTCAAGATAGTTATAAATACATCACGTTATAACGAATTATCGTTATGCTTATAATGTAAGTTTTATTTAATTGATACAATCAATTTTAATACTTTAATTACGATTAAAAGTTCAAAAATGTCATACATTAATTCGATTTTAGTTAAATGACTATTCTTGTTTGGATAGCTAAGTATAGCAGACAATAAATTCTCAATTTTGGACAACAGCCTAATGATGATTCACTGAATTTGCCTATTGTTTTACAACATATCAATTTGATTCCAATGACTTTATTACACTGAAGATGACCTATGAAACGTCTATAATTGGTGATTGATATGTATATAATATGTGTGTGTGTGTGTGTGTGTGTGTGTGTGTGTGTGTGTGTGTGTGTGTGTGTGTGTGTGTGTGTGTGTGTGTGTATAATTTTTGATTACACACGTACAACTGTGTCGACTCTCATTGGCTTTACACTTCTTTATTGATGTAATCTTTGGAGTCTTTTTTAATTGCTACGTATAATCATATATAAAATTACGCATAATTGTGTATGAGCAATTTTTTTAACATTTTTCCAAACTTGTTTTTTTCTAAAATGAATAATGCGAAAATTATCCCTTTAATTATTTTTTATATTTTCACACTATTATTGCTATTTCTATTACACTAAAAAATAATTTTACAAAAAAAGATGTATAAATATGTATAGACATATTTCATACATGATTATACGTGTTTATGAATATTTATATGTTTATACATATTTATACATATTAATGTATGAAAAATGTAATAAATTTTTTAATATATACAATATGTTCATTAATTATACCTATAATTTTTTGTTCAGTTAGTTCCGATTTGTTTAATAAATTCGTAATTTCTTTTCGCTGATTTTTGTCAGCTCTTGTTTTCTCAAATTCATCACTGATGACACGCGACTTTCTCTTCGGTTTTATCGACATTGAGTTACTTTCCACGTATACTTCATGCATAAGAATATTCTTCGTTCGTAATCCAATGCAACACCTGTTATATATTGCAATTCTTTCAAGCGCCATATCAGCTTCTGTTGATTTTTTTTTAGCCAGCAGCCATCTCGGCGATTCCGGTATAATCCTGTTACATACTATATAATGTGAGGAGAGCTTTTATATATTTTAT